CGGGCCATGACAAGATTTCCCTTCACGACCTTCCACTGCCCATTTCCGAACTTCACCTCGTGTCCCTGTTCGTCCAACTGCCTAACAGAAATCAAACTTTTCTTCAAGGCTGGAACCACTCTGACATCCTTCAAAGTCCAGAAACCGACAGGGGTCTTCAGCACTATGTCACCCATGCCCGTCACATCAAGAGCTCCGTCGTCTGCTAGTCGTACCTTTCCAAAGTCCCCAACAACTAGATTCTGCAATGCTTCACCGCTGTGGGTAGCATGAAATGAAGCACCAGAATCCATGACCCAGGAATCTACACTGCTCTCCGCACAACAGATAAACAAATCCTCGTCGCTCGCGGAGCCTCTAGCAATGTTCACTTGCTTAACCTCTTTCGGGCACTGATTCCTGAAATGCCCCACCTCCTTGCACTTCCAGCATGTTACGCCTGAGCTATCCCGAGTCTTCGATCGACTCCTTCGTCTGTTCTTGCTCCCACTACCTCTGTTATTTCCTCTACCTCTGACGATATTTAGTGATTCTTCCGAAGACTCACCAGAACTCCTTCTTCTGACATCTTCGCCAAGAACGAGGTCACGAATCTTCTCAAAAGTGAATCCGTCAGGTCCCGCTGAACTGGTAATTGCTGTAACAGTTCCGGACCAAGTGTCAGGCAATGACGATAACAGTAGTAAAGCTTGAACTTCATCATCGAACTTAATGCCCACTGACAAAAGTCTGGCTAAGATCGAATTCAACTTGTTGATATGCTCGGTAACTGAAGTGCCATTTTTCATCCTTGTGTTCACCAGCTCTCTTATTAGAAAAACTTTGTTCACTGCAGATGGCTTCTCGTACATGTTAGACAGCGCGTCCATAATTCCCTTTGCTGTCTTCTCCTTCAGAATGTTGAACGCAACATTCTTGGTCAACGAGAGACAGATCACGGACATTGCTTTCCGATCCAAACCTGCTCAATCTGCATCTGACATTTTTTCTGGCTTGTCACCCAATACCACGTCCAAATCTTTCTGAACCAGCAAATCTTCAATTTGCATTCTCCACCAACTGAAATCTGTACCATCGAACTTCTCAATTCGGAACTTCCCATCTTCTGCCATCTCCAACGACAAGATGAGATACCCGATACAACTAATTTCAGATCTTGATATTTTTATCAGATAAGATATCTAGGACACAAATTAACACCACCCACAAAAAAAAAATCACACCACTATCACCAAAAAATTCCACAATGGCCCCCACCTCTTTTTTTTTTCTTTCGGCCCAACACTTCACAGCAAAATCTACCCAAATCTCTCTTTACTCCCTCACCCTCCAAATCCAATCAATCACACATTACCTTCCAAGCAAAAGCAAAAAACATTCAACCTTTTTTTTTCCGGCTACTGTGCAATTTCAGTGCAATTCGGCGATGGAGATAGCACACGGTCGCGCTTGGGTTGGGCGCTGGTCAGAAGCGTCGGCTTCGCCCCTCTTTACCGCGGCGGCTATTCCCCTACGACGGCGACGGCTCCTCCACGCGGCGGCGGCTCCTTCTGCCGCTACTCCTGCGTGCGGCGGTCGGAAGGCAAACGGTGGCGGCGATCTGTACTGGACGGCGGCGGCTTGACGAGGGGAGGCTACGGCGGTTCGCGGATGACAGCGAACAACCTGCCCAAGCCTCTCACCTTCTTTTGAACCAGCGGCGGAGGGAGATTGACGGCGGTAGCGGTGACTCAGCGGCTGCTCCTGCGCGGGTGACAGCGGCAGCGGCTCCTTCGCTTGCTGCGGTCCCCCCTGGAACCAGCGACGGCGACACGATTCGGATGGCGGCGGTCTGGATCTGCCCGATTGAAGGCGGCAGCCGTGAGTCTCAAGGGACTCACTTCCTGCTGCGGCAGTGCTTCGTGGGGATCGTCGGGGATGGTGGTGCTCCGGCGGCAGCGGCCCTCACTCCGGCTCCTGCTGCTGCACACAGTTCTTCTCCAAAGAACCCAGGTGACACTCCTCTGATTAGTTTCTGCTGATCGGATTTTCGGTGTCTTAACGAACCAACGCTCCGATACCACTTGTTGGGAATAAACGCACGCGGAAACAACACACAATCACGAATCAATTACGAATCAATTGCAGAAAAATAAACGACACAGGATTTAACGTGGTTCGGCCGCCAACTGCAACCTACGTCCACACGGGGCAACTAGGAGGATTTTATTATTTGTTGTTGCACAACAATTACAAGCACATTAGCATCTCTTAAATAGAGATTAGTTAGGGAGACAATGATTAAGCCGTAAGCTTCTAGGTAGCTTCCTGCCAATTTCCTGTTAGCTTCCACCTAGCTTCCTGGCTTCACACTCAACACAAGCACTACAGCTTTTACATACTCTTACTTAAATAATCACTTGTTTATTCCATAAAACTAAAAATAAAATTTAATTTTTTTCGAAAACATTCATTTTATCTTACTTTTTCGTACGGAGTATATTATTTTGTTTATTTAGTAAAGAACATTGATGGGTATATCCTTATACCCGACCCGGACAACCGAAAGGGACAGGTCAAAATATGACCGGTCACTTTTATCAATCACCAAATGAGGTTAACTCTTCGATTGGGACGGGTCAAAAGTTGACCGGTCACTTCCACTAAAAAAGTGACCGGTCACATTTTGGGCGATAGCCAAAATGTCGCCTAATGTTACAAAGGACATTCTAGAAGACCAGAGACGGGTTGAGCACAAAGAATGACCGGGTAAC